CGAGATGCCGGGGTTGGATAAATATACAAATTGTAGATCAAAATCTAGTATGAAATGAGATGGAATTCATTCTAAGATTGTTTGAAGTTATTGTCAAATAATTAACGTCTGAGATGCAAAATATCAAAGATTTCTCTCTAGAAAGAAATTAATAGATTTAAGAATATCAAAACATTACAGTGAATTTAATTGTTTGTTGAGTCTATTGAATTATTTATTCAATAGTGATAAACTTCAGTTATTAGGATTTATGATATGATGATTAGGGTTGAAAAAGTGTCTGATAAGAATAGGATTAAGCTTTAAATTACTGCATTTACTGAAATATAGAAATTATGAATTGATAAAAGGTTAAAGGCAAATTAGAAACTCTTAGAGATAGATGAATATTTTTGAAGTTTATGACGTCTAAGTCTCAGTATCTTAACAGTGATACTTAAGTAATGGTAAAGTGTTGAAATAAAGCTGAAGTATTTAACTGGTCCAAGCAAATAATTGAATTAAGAGAATGTATGTCGAATGCAGATAAAAATTTGAACTTAACCAAAGAGAAAATTACAATTGATTTTGCTCTTTGCACCTTTACTTGACTCATACTCTAGATGAATTATTGATAATCTTCATTAAGGGAAAGATGAAAATAAAATTGAATTATCTCAAAGGTATCCTCTTAGATGTTACAAGATATACTTAAGTTCACTTTGCTACTCTCACATACATGTATAGTTATATGTATATATATGATTTTGCTTCCCATGTAAATGTTGACAAAAAGAAACTAAGATTTTCTAATTTTCTAGGTCAAACTGCTGCACCATCATGGAGTCCAAGAGCACCCTGGCAGAAGCAGACTCGACCTCCATGTTAGCCATCCCACAGTCCAATCCACAGTCAAGTGTGTCACTAGATTCAACTGCACAAGACTTAATGTCACCTTTCCACATTCCCCTTCAGGAGTTAATCACAGCCACATCCCCATAAACATCTGTTCTATCATGCGAGTGCTCCATCTGCCAGAATTTAGCCTGCGGTCAAGAGTCGATATACAAAATCTCAGTTTTGTCTACCTTAGATCACCTTCACGTGACACCTACAACAGCCATCTAACGAGTATAACATACTATCCTCATTCGACATGTCTCACCGGTCAATTATCACCTCCAAGAGCGTACCAATCTTCCAGCGCGTGAAAGCAGTGCATGGGCAGTATACAAGCTAAGCTCTTTAATTTACCATCAATTTACCTATTATCCTTCATCTGCAAATGAGACCGCAGCCTCATAAACAAAAAGTGGTACTGAATAGAGTGTCCCCATCTAGTATATCATCGCCAACACCAGCCAATCCACATGTCCTCCTGGCTGTCTCAGTGGACCAAGACTCATATTACCTTCTTAATGCACAACCTCCTGTAAAGTCATGGCGTTATGATCCTCTAGCATCCCCAGATTGGGATTGTGCAGGACCACCTGGATGTCTATGTGCTGGACGAGTTAAAAAGTAAGAATCCAAGAATTTGATTTTAAAGGTTTTTCACCTAATATGACATACAGGATTATAGAAATAATGTGTTTTAATTATTTTATATATGTATTAGTAAACTGAATAAACAAGGAAAAATCATGTGATTCATACTTCATTTCAGAGACCTGAGCAGTATCTACAGTGAGCCACTTCCAGGAATTTTTGTTGTAAATACCTGTATGAACAAAACCTCTTTAAAGTTATAAACTTGCCTCACTTTATCCTGGAGACCAAGTAATTGAGTAACTATCGCATTATGAAGTTGGATTCTTTCCAACGTCCATCGTTCCGTTTTTGAGTCCCCTATTACCCTCTCCCATCCTACAGAAGAGTACAGGACAACTATTATATGCTGACGACATGGGTAGGATTTAAGATACTCAGATATTAACCTTTATAAAATATATTATTATATTAATTAAGATTATTCAAATTACATATACAAGATAATGGGGACAAGTTTGCTTAAGATATTTTAGTGGTGATAAGCACATTCTCTGTAGAGATACTGTACTGTATAATTGTGTATATTATATGATTTTTTAAAGGTATAAGTAGGTGGGATACAGTACTTTCACTAAGTGTAGTCATATAGTTTAATGAATGAAATTTAGTGTGAATCAGAGTGCGTATTTTTTATCACATTCTAGAGGAAAGATGTGGTTATGCCAGCTTAGCACTGTTATTATAATTATTTTGACTAAGAGCAACTCATTTTATAATATAACATGTCTTCCACCTGTGGGTGGGTGTCGAACATGGTCTGCCGTCCATGCGTTGAGCCCAGTCAATCCAGACCTCGTCCAGTTTCTTTTGTCATTACAGAGCCTGATGAATGAGAAACCCTTATTCACAATGAACCTGGATTTGTAAAAAGTAGATCTAAGAAAATTAAATTATTACATAAGCTGAAAGAAAAGTATAGATTAGCAAATAATTATACTATTACCTAAGATTTATTATATCCTATATCAAGATTCATTAATATATATTTTATCAGTTCGATAAATCTATTAGACCTTAGATTGAAAAGACTAGGTTCTCTTAAATATTTAGAGCTTGTGATTGAGACTCAGACTCATTATTTTGTGTTATCAGGTTCATTATCATTTCGACTCATAATTGGAAGTATCATCCATTATTAAAATCACTTCCTTAAAAGTTAATTAGAATTATCGAAAAGGTACTAGATTGAATTCTCGATATGCCCTAGAATGGGTCAGATTTTCACTACCATTTACCTCCTAATACTTGGGATGGCAGTATTTGGACACGCCATGCCCACCAGAGGAAAATTTAGTCAATTAATTGTATTAAGGTAGCACATAGGTGGCTCCAACCACAGCTCGCCTTAGTCACCAATGAGTCGACTAGTCCAACCTGTTGCACCGTGCTTTACCCTTTTCGGTTGATTAATATGGAGAAACACTATGTCATTGGTTTGATAGACTACTGATAATGCTATTAGAATATAACAGTCAGAAATTATACACTGCTCATCCCATACTTGAGCATTAGAAGATAAATCCCAGAAAACAAACTCGAGCGAACAGGAGAAGAGCAGTCGTCTATCTGCTGCACCCAGACTACTTATATTGACTTACTTGGTGACTGATGCACTAGTGTAGCTATCTTTGATGTGGATACGATTCCTGTGCTGCCGAACAACACGGCTACAGTCAGAACCACCTCACCTTTAATCCTGGGTGGCCTGTGTTGAATAGATATGAAAACACAAATAATTTTTTACTTTCAAAACTGTTCAATAGAGTATCCTGTCTTACCTCTTGTTTTTCGAGTATGCTATTTCAGTGGCATATTGTCTCATATTGATCTCTTCTAATAACTCTCATCTGCCTTCTTATAACAACTTCCCTATTGTCTTATTGCCTCATTTGTCTATGACCCATCTACATCATTCACTTATGTGGAGACATAGTAGTGCATGTATCAGTTTTTCTTACCTGTGTCTTCATCCTGTTTGTGACTCATTGCCCCTTAATAGCAGATATGTGGCGATTTGTCGCTTCTTGCTGGAATTCTTTTCAATCTCACACAGTATCCGTGCGAGGGCTCAGAGTCTTATTCAATTCTTGTCACTTTCTATATATCACTCACCTCTTTATTTATATAATTATGAAAACAAGCACTCTATCTTCTTGCTCCTCCCGTCCCTTTGTCCTCCTATCCCTTTGTCCATCCTTTACTGATCTGCGATAGCATAGTTGTAGCCAAAAAATTGTTATAATCTTTACTCCAATCATTCTAATTCTTTCTGACACCTTGCTCTAGTATGGTCTATCTACACACTTATGCTTAATCATTGGATTTCTAGCAAACTTCTGTTTCATTACTTATGCTCATTTTGATCAATATTCTTAAGTCATCTCAATCTATATCACTCCTATAGACTATAGGTTCCTTCCACAAATATTAATTCCATCTGGACTCTGCCCTATTGATTCCCTCCCCATATCATATCTCGTGTCCCAACAACACTCTATATTTACTGTTCACTTCTCATGGGCATCTCGTCCTGTCATCGTTGAGCTGTGATAAGCAACCGTAATCGCTCCCAGCAGCCGAGTGGCGCTGCCTGACCATGCCACCCACCTAGTATTGGGTGAACAAGGATTGGCCATGCAATGTTATTTTCCCTTTTACCTGCATTTAAGTGTTTTTTAGCTTTTTTGCTATTTTCTGATGTCTATATTTATCATTTGATTTGCCAGATTGCTCTAAGTAGTCCATTGCTCAGTGCAATAATAATAAATACCATTTCATTATTTATGTCATTTTTTTTTTTTTTTGTAATATTCAATTTTCTGTAATACAACTTGTGCTACTGGTCTTCGTAGCTAGGAATAGGTTTCTGAGCATGAAAATAATGTCCTCCCTGAAGCCTCACGAACAGTATGTTCCACACTTGCTTATCATTAGAAAAGCCCCTTCCTAACACCAAATGAGGCTACTCACCTTTTAATAGGTTTGTGAACTTGTGCTGAGTGATTTTTGTCATACTGGCTTGAGCCGAAAGTTCTTGTCACCCTAGCTTACAGCCAAATTTTATCATGGTGGCATATTCACGTCATCCGCCCTGCAAACCAAATTTCTTTATGATGTGATGGTTACGTCATCTGTTTTGTAGGAGTTTACCTGTAAGATCGCAGCCTCACAGCCTGCAGATGGTCTAAAGTCTGGGCATTAGGCTTACTTGAGTGGTCACATGAACACTTGTGGTATCATGACTCGTTGCCTCCCTATTGGAATGCTATTATCTCTTTTTCTGCCTTTTTTTTTTTTTCTTTATTGCCATTTTGCCATATATTTGTCAATTGTTATGCAGTATCAAGATGGCAGTACACTTTTTCTTGTTAAACAGACTCCATATCATCTCTCTAGCTAGTCTAAAACTGCAGTAATAGTAATAAGTAAGATATTGTCATTTGAGTTTTTCTGTAATACACTATGTGGCAATGGTCACAGGAGATAAGAATGGGATCCTAAGCATGGAAATATTGTTTTCAGCAGTAGGCTCTCGTCATGCCACCCGGATCCAATTGGTTAAATATAGTTTTGTAAAGATAGGAAATGTACTTGTAATATTGATTTTAGTTCTAGGCACACATGGTATCTAAAGATTAACCAAAACATAAATAAATGGTTTTGTTACTAAGACACAAATAGATATGATTTGATTTTGAAAAAGTAATAAAGTGTAGATTTTAGTACTTTGATATTGTATACTAGCGTAGCTGTTCATGAGTAATAGACTTACCAAATATGCAAGTTAACTTTGTCATCATAGCCAATAAGACTGCTCTCCAGCCAATAAAATGTCTGACAGATATTTATTTATTTGCCAGATCTATATTGTTTGTGCTAACAAGTAACATAAGAAAAAACAAGAAAGTAATGTATTTTTACACATTTCAGGAGCACAAGGCAGGAGACAGTGAGCGTTATAACACCATCATAATGCATGAAACGATTAGAGTTGCTGTTATACAACAGTTTGAGGGTGTTACCATGGTGCCAGCAGATCTCATGAGAGTTATGGAAGCTTCATTTCTGGAGTATTATGATCATTATGTTGAAATTTGTGAAAAAAATATGCATCTAGATGGACAAACCATGGTGGTGGTGTAAGTAAAAAATTTCCAATTTTTGATTAAGGGAACCGTCCCAGATTGGGGGGACAGGGGGTCAAATTGAGTTAGCTAGCATATAGTATAGGTACATGGATGGGGAAACTACCAAAGGAGTATTAACCCAGTACCGACGGATAAAAATGTTGGCAAGTGGATGTAGGTAACGGTTGGCGCGCATCAGCAGTTCCCTGTTTGGTCCGGCTCGATCGGTAATTTGCAAGTGACATTTGGCACCTGAAAGCTTTCATTTTGCTATGATTTATAAAGATATTATAATTTTGAAGGTTTACCTTCATTATAGGTACCATTGCCTAATATCTTTACCATTTAAATGAAGCCACTACTATCAGAGAAAAACAAACTCCGACAAGCCAATGGTGCGGGAATGAGCATGATACGATGCCATCCATTTTTCAGTCCACAACAGCCATGGCATGTATGTACATGCCACCTGTCGGCTACAGGTTAAAGGCCAGCTGTGGCTGGTTATCGGAGAATGGACGCGAGACCCGCTTAACACCTGGTTAGGTACGTCATTAACAAGCGCTGAGGTACACCTATGTGGACTTTTGCTTGTTGCAATCATGCATACGTGCATTTGATTATGACATTGCGCATAGATCTTAGTTTGTGAATGTTCAAGGAACACTTTTATACCAATATCAGAAAAAAATTATATCACCGTGATTTATGACAAAATATTTTGTGAAATATCTTTTTAAAAAATTAAATTTTTGTGTTCTTTTTCACACAAAATATGCTTCCATCGATACTCCCTGGTATTATGTTGCAGCTTATAAAGTGATCTGTATGTATACCAAGTATGAAGCACTAATGTTTAAAAATAGCCGTATAAATAAGGATTAAATTATTTCCGTTAGATTTCGCTCAATGGTCTGTACATCACAGCATCGGTAAATTTGATTTGATTTGAAATTGGTCGTAAAGGGCTATTCAATATGAAGAGTACCTAAAAGTTGGATTCTTGAACTTTGGATGTATAAGCGAGATACTAATTATTTCATATCGAAGATGATAGTACACAGTAATATCCACTCTGATATAAAAACTATATGGAATTTTGAGCTTGTTTGCGCAGTTGAAAAAGCTATTGCATCTGTTTTGTGCATTTCCAATGAAAAAATATTAGGTTTAACCCATCAGCGACGGGTAAAAATTTTGTCAAGTTTACGTATGCACTGGCTTGTTGGCGCGCACCGGTAGTTTCCCCTGATTGCGCCTGGCTCGATCGGTAGTTTGCGAGCGACATATAGCACCTAAAAGCTTTTATTCTGCTAAAATTTATAAAAATATTAAAATTTTGAAGGTTTAGCTTCACTTTAAGTGCCATTGCCTAAAATCTTTACCATATAAATGAATCCATTACTACTGGAGAAAAACAACCTCCGTCCGACGAGCCAGTAGCGCGGGAATGGGCATGGCATGATGTCCCCGGCATTTGGTCCACAACAGCCATGGCATGTACGTACGTGACACCCGGCGCCAATGGGTTAAATGTTACCGTAGGTCTTAGGTACCATAAATTCACAAATATCCAACCATACCTAGGCGTCTGCATGATTTTATGCACTTCTTAGTGAAGATAAATGGGGCAAATGGCTAATCAACAACTCTACACTTGTTTCCGATTATAATCTGTTACTATTGACAATTATTGAAGAAAACGGTTTTAGAGGGATAACTAATATATTTTATTCCTTTAGATATACAAGTTGATGTAGGCCTACTAAATGAGGATGTTTAATTTTTTAAAATTTTACATACATGTGTTTACGAACATATGATCCTCCTTGATTATTCAGGAAAAAACTGTGGTAGTGGTTATATACCGAAGAAGAGGGGGAAAAAAAGACTTTTGGCCCACCCTATTGTGGTGTGAGGTCAAAATTATGAAACAAAGTGCAATTCTAAAGTCATATATATATATATATATATATATATATATATATATATATATATATATATATATATATATATATATATATATATATATGTGGAATTCATGGTGAACAGATTGCAACAGGAACAACGAAGGGAAGGGCAAGAAAACACACGAATATGCCGAAGGCCTTTTCACTATTGCTCTGACGAAGCAATAGTGAAAAGGCCTTCGGCATATTCGTATGTTTTCTTGCCCTTCCTTCGTTGTTCTGTTGCAATCTGTTCACCATGAATTCCACACATGTATATATATATATATATATATATATATATATATATATATATATATATATATATATATATATATATATATATATATATATATGTATACATATATACACATATATATTTATATATATATATATATATATATATATATATATATATATATATATAAATATATATATATATATATATATATTTATATAGATAGATAGATAGATAGATAGATAGATAGATAGATAGATAGATAGATAGATAGATAGATAGATATTATAGATATATATATATATATATATATATATATATATATATATATATATATATATATATATATATATATATATATATATATATATATATATATATATATATATATATATATATATATATATATATATATATATATAATATATATATTATATATATATATATATATATATATATATTATATATATACATACATATACAATTAACCCTCGCTATAACGTGGTTCACCTTTCACGTTCTCGCTGCTTCACGGATTTGCATTGGGCATTGTGTTCTGCATTCTGATTGGCGAAACAGTCTCTCCGCTTCTTCTCTACCTGTGTGTCAATAATGTTACGGTTTAATATGTACATGTACGTAAAACAGCTTGCCAAATTTAAGTTTGCAAATTTTCTCTAAAACCCATGAAGCCTTTAGTTTGTATTGATGATTAAAATTTATTATTTGTAAAAAACGTTTATCCAGTACTTTTATTTGTTAACAAATGCTTGGGCCTGTAAAAAGGTTTTGTTCTTTGGTTTCAATGTATTATAGAGTATTTCAATGTATAATAATTGTAAAAAAAATAAAAATAAAGGTTACTACTACATGGATTTCGCCTATCACGGGTTCTTTTTGGAACGGAACCCCAGCGAAAAACGAGGGTCCAATGTGTATATCTGTATATATATATATATATATATATATATATATATATATATATATATATATATAATATATATATATATATATATATATATATATATATATATATATATATGTATATGTACATATATATATATATATATATATATATATATATATATATAATATATATATATATATATATATATATATATATATATATATATATATATACACACATCCCTTTAAAAGGGCCATGAACACACATTTTGACCCTGGCAATCAGATTCTGCACTTAGAAATAGCATAGCTTTACTATTTTTGGAGATATTAACCATTTTAAACTGAATTTCTGTCAGTCATGATTGAGATTTTTTACATTTCAGGGGTCCAGATCTTGGAAAGTGTGTATATTATTAGAGTTGCACCTGATTTACTATTATATTTGGGAATTGTACAGTATTAAAAGTGTTTAAGGGGACCGTCCCTGATGGAGGGGGGGAAGGGGTTTAAATTGAGTTAGTTAGTGTATAGTATAGGTACATGGATGAGGAAACTACCAAACGAGTATTAAGCGCCTGCTATGGCTCGTTGTCTTGCAGCCGGCGCGCGAGTCCCTCAGCACCCAGAGAGGTACGTCGCGAATGAGCGCCCAGGTACACCTATGTGGACTTTTGCTTGCGGCAATCGTGCATAAGGCATTTAATTATGACATTGTGCATAGATATGAGTTTGTGAATGTTCAAGGAACACTTTTATACCAATATCAGGAAAAAATTATATCACCATGATTTATGACGAAATATTTTGTGAAATATATCTAAAAAAAAGTTTTGTGTCCTTTTACACATGAAATATGCTTCGATCGAGAGTCCCTTGTAATATGTTTTAGTTTGCGAGGTAATATATACATATATCACATACGAAGCACTAATGTTTAAAAATAGCCTTATAAGGAAGGATTGAAATATTTCCGTTACATTTCGCTCAACGGTCGGTACATCACAGCAGGGGGCAATTTGAATTGATTTGAAATTGGTAGTTACCGTTGTAAAGACCAATTCAATACGAATGTTACCTAAATGTCAGATTTTTAAACTTCAGATGTATAAGCGAGATACAGATTATTTCATGTTGAAGATGATAGTACTCAGTAAAACTTGCTCTGAAATAAAAACTATATGGAATTTTGAGCTCCGTTGTATGCGTAGTCTTCATCTGGCGTTCAAAAAGCTATCGCATCTGTTTCGTGCGTTCCCGATAAAAATGAATATGTTTAGACGATATCGTAAGTCTTAGGCACCATAAATTGGCAAATATCCCACAACACCTAGGCGTGTGCATGATTTTATGCACTTCTTAGTAAAGATAATGGGTGCAAATGGCTAATCATAAACTATTCACTTGTTCTCCTTTGCAATCTGTTAATATTGACAATTATCAAAGAAAATGGTATGAGAGGGATAACTAATATACTAATTATGATGATTAATCTTTTTAACTTTATGTGCATGCGTTCACGTACATATGGTCCTCCTCGAAAATTATAAACACCCAGTGACCATTCCCCCCCCCCCCCCCTGTGTGAGGCATGGGAAATATTCAGCGACTTTCGTAGTTCTCGAATTCAATGTACTAAATTCATATGCTTTTAAAATTCTCAAAATTGAACCACCATGTTGTATTCATGCCAGGACTTTATAATTAGAATGATTTTGTACAAATATTGCCATCCACAGTTCCCCATTTCTTGAAAATAAAAAAAGTAATAAATAAAATGGAAAATAAAAAAAATAAAAAAAATAAAAAAAGGTTTTTATCTGGTTTAGGTTAGTTGTCTCTATGGTAAAATGCATTTATTAAGCTTTTCACACGAAAATATCAATTTTTATGAACAACGAAAAAAAAAGAAAAAAAAAGTTACATACCTTTACAGAATAGCGTCCCTATTGAACATGAAAATTCCTTTTGACTTGGTAATCATTGCATTACAAAGTACACTAAATAAGCATTTTTTCAATATATAATATCATTAGATTCAGAGAAAAATAACAGAGATAACGAACTTTGGCAAGGGGCCAAATACAAAACGCCATAGCTCCGTCATTTTGAATCTTCGGTACATCCCAACTCACGTAATTGTCATGCGATCCAAATGCAGTTTGTTGCTTTCACTAGAGCCTCGGCGTGCCAATGCCATGTAAAAGGCCGATTTTTTAATTTTTGCCTTAATCAAAAAATAATAATATTTTAATGCTGAAAGAAGAAATCAAAAATAGTTCTCTATGTCAAGCTGTCCCACGCCAAAAAAAAAGGGAAATTCAAAATTCGGCCTTTTACATGGCTATAGGCTAGAGTTGATCTAACACAAGTATTTTTGGGGGAATATTCTGTAAACAGCTCTGATAGTTGGGATGTACCGAAGACATACCAAAAAAAACGATTTTTTTAGACTTTTTTGGGGGTGCCCCCCCCCCCCCCCAATGGGGGAGCAAAGTTAAAATTTATATATATAACGGAGCGCAATTCTTTACTCTATAGCATGCAAAAAGAATCAATCGATATTTTTTTATGATGTATAGAGTAGGGAAAGGTGGCCATTTTCAGGGACAGTCCCCTTAAGGGCACTCAGTCCTTAAATGAAGGAATAGGAGGGTTTCAAAAATGGCTTCGGGAAAAGATAACATTTTGATACCCCTTACATCAGACCTGTTGACCATGTGGGCACTTGACTAGAATGAGCTTTTAACCCCTTTTACAGTCACACTATATCAAGCATTCAACCTAAGAAACACATTGTTTTTTTGATTACTTCATAATAATCTAGGCCTCTGAATATGGGCCTATTTTCCCATATTTTTGAAGTTATTTTATGTCCAGAAAGGAGATCAGCTAAGATTTTAAATTGCCTACTCATGATTAAGGTTGTTAAACACATCCACATTATCAAATCAAGAAGTTAGTATTCAAGCAGAATAATAAGTAGTTTTTTAACCCTCTGTACATTGCAATTTTCTTACATATCAATGATCATGCAATTACAGCAGATTTAAACCAACACAAGGCAATGCACATAACCAACAATACCTACAATAAAAACATCAAGCTTGAGTTACAATGTAATTGGCTGACAATTTTAGTTTGATATGAAGTTTGTGTTTGAATGAAATTGGGAAAGAGCCTCTGAATTCTTTTTACATCAGCTGAAAGAAGTTTATACTGCTGAGCACTATGATCCTGAATCTCTGGAGTATTCATGCAGCATATGATGTCTTGAAATGGGACCCAACATGGTGGATCATGACAGTTTTTAGCAGTCCAAGACCAAGTCATATTTGAACACTTCATGAAATGACAGTATTCATCATTTTCATTAAAACGTTAAAAAATGTTGGCCACATACCAGTTGGCCTCATACACACAAGCAACATACTGCCTAGGCTGATAGGTACTGTAATCCTCAGTGGTCTCATGACTAAGGGTTACACTGGTCTCCACAGCCTCATCACAATTCCTCACAGACAAAATGGAAAATGTCATGTCGTGAGATATCCTTTGCTTAGGGAGCTTTCCACTAGGAAAGTGACACAGGAAAAAGATATGTATGTTTGTCCCAGGAATCTTAGGACTACTTTGTGCCCTCTTTGTTTTTGCCTTCAGTTTTCCCAAGAGTATTCAAAATGGGATGAAGCTGTGGTAAGACCCGAGTTCCTGCCATGAACATGATATTTAAATCTAGCATTATTTTTATTTTAGAATCAATTGAATACTGGGGATGTTATTTTAGTGTGGAATATTATGTAAAAAGAATAGTCCATTTACTAATGTTTGTTATCTTCAAGAATCTTTATTCATTTGAAATTTCTGTGTATGATACTTATAAGTAACTGTTTTCAGGATCCTTTCCGGGAATGGCGAGGACACTTCCAGTATGCAACCCTTTTGAAGAACCTCAAGAGACTAAAAGCCAAAATTGAGGCGAAGGTAGACAGTGAAGTACCTGAAAACCCCATAACAGCAGAGAGTGATGATGTATCTAGTATATCAGAAGGTGAGGACGAGTTACTTTTGTTTGAAGAGGAGTCTTCACCTGAGCTAGAAGGGGTGGATTGAAGCTAGTATTGTGAGGAAAGACAGGTCAGGTGCTAGCCATGATTGTTTATGAAAAATCATTACATTGTAAGTTACAAAGGAGCATACCATACTTGTACATATTAATTGCAGCCAAAACACAGGTGCATATTATTAAAAAAAAAAAAAAAAATGCTTCTTGATAACTTGTATCAATATGTAATTGTTACTATCTTTGATACTGTACAATAAATTAGGAGTGAATTCTGGAAATGATAATTCTGACTTTTGAATGAAGGTCCATAATTGCATATTTTTTGAAGAGTGTGTTTCCTCTGAAAGTGGGGAAAAGAAACCTATCTCGTAGATCAGAGATATACTCCTCAGTAAATGTTACTCATAGATAATGTATAGCTTGTTAAAATGATAACCAGGTTGCAGTTTAAAATTTAGTTTCCTTATTATGCTTTACTATTTTTGTTAATCTTCATTTTGATATCTATTATGTAAACAGGCTAGAGTTATATACAATATGTGCCTGCTTATAAGCCAACCTTTGTCCCACAGGATGCATCATGTGTAATGTTTAAGAGTTGGCAATTATTTTATGGTTTAACTAAAATTGTATGATCATTTATCCCAAAAAAGCAAATACCTGTTAGTGTCTTTACCCATAATATGTTTTTTTTTATATCACAAAGAAAATGAAAACAGCAACATGCAGAATTTTTATACAGGTTTTCAGTTTTCATGGGTAATGAAAAGAGTAATTGTAATCCATCTGTATACAGTATTGGCGGATAAAGTATACACCCTCCATAGAAACATACAGGAAAATTGGTGCTAACTCTTTATGCCGAAACACTTATAAGCTAGCAGGTAGGTTAATATATTGGTGTCTGGCTATGCTACCAGTCCTGGGCTATGGCTGGTGGTGTGTGGGATCTTGGCAGCCTGCAGGAAGTGACACAGGAAAAAGATATGTATGTTTGCCCCAGGAATCTTGGGACTACTTTGTGCCCTCTTTGTTTTTGCCTTCAGTTTTCCCAAGAGTATTCAAAATGGTCAGATCTAATGCCACAAAGGTAGAATGAACACAAATCATCTTAGTGCGGCAGGAAAGTGCGATGTCTAAAGACATTTATCACCTGCTACCCAAACCTTGTTCAAGGAAGCCAAGAAAGACTTCAGCCAAGACTGAAGTTTGATGAAGAATGTAGTCAAGCAAAGCTCATTCATCGCAAATACTGAAATAAGGAAAATATTTTTAGAACTCTTGAAAAATTTTGAGGCTCTTACCATATGTGAATGCCTCCAATGCCACCTCAATTTACCCTCTTGCAAGGTTGCCATCAAACCAGTGCTTGCTAAGGGAATGAAGGGAAAGAGGCTGGCTTTTGCAAATAAGTACAAATATTAAACCCCTCAGCAGTGGAAAAGGAGCATCAGGGTGAGCAGTAAACGTATCTGTTGTCCGGAAAGTAGCAGCCGATTTGATCCCTGCTGCACTGTCAAGGGGATCTAACATCCAGCTTCTTTGGTGGTTTGGGGCATTTTCAGCTGTGAAAGAGGTGCAAGTGAGCTGTATTTCCTACCAACATGCCAAACGGTCAGAGAACAATCTGGATGTCTTAAAGGATTTCATGCAACCCTTCTTTGACCTTCATCAGCCATATGGTGCTTTTGTGCATGATTGCACCCCATGTCATGAAGCAAAAACAGACAAGGACTTTCTTCAAGAGAACAAAATTCCTGTTTTAGAGAGGCCAGGAAATTTGCCAGACTTGAATCTGCTAGAGAATGCATGGGTACACATCAAGAAGCACCAATCCGACCTCATCAAAAAATGAATGCTCTAGCCATAGCTTTTTTTTATTTTACTTTATGGTACTTATGAATTATGCCAGATTTTTTACTTGGAGAAGGTAATGTGTCATCTTTATCCGCCGATATTGTATTATGGAAAAAGGGAAACAGGCTATAGCTTAGTACTTCATGACACATCCAGGGCATTTGGATTTCATATGGCTCTGCTGAATAAGATGAATGCAGTGTTTATTATTCAATGAGTTTTGTTTCTTAGAGCTTCCAAAATAAGTTAAAAGTAATGATTTATTATTTGGGTGACGTAGATGATGACCTAGTAGCGTTTGTGGTATATTAGTACTCTCATTTTATT